TAGCTGCCCTCAGTATGACCATCATCTGATGTGCGAACTATTCTTGTACAAGATCAGCTCCATGACATCGGGAGCCTTAGATACGAGGGCGAACGTATCGGAGTAGGCATGTATAAGTCAAAACCCAAATCCAGGCCCCCTTGATACCTCTCAATTTGACTTCCTTCGCGCCCATCTCTCTTAGGTAAGCTTCAGTGGCCGCTAAGCTTGTTATTCTAGGGTTTGCGGCATGTAACAGCCATGTCAAGGGCGTACCACTCTCATAATCCAATGCATTGATGTTTGCTCCTTGCGCGAGTAGGATTTTTGCAACAGCCAATGACCCGTACTCAGCAGCCCAGGAGAGTGGTGTCCGCCCCCACTGGTCACGGGAATCCACATCTGGCTTACTCTGTAGGAGATATAGAAGGAGATTTGTGCAGTTCCCCATGGCAGCATAATGTAGGAGAGACCTCTTGTGGCAATCCCGTTTCTTGAAACGTCCTCGTGACTGAAGCGACGAATGGGCCTTTTCAACAAATGCCACCAATTCTGCACTGAGAGTAACCTCCCTGATGATTTTCAGACGGTCGAACTCGGCGCCAGTGTCTGAATAGCTACGGCTGGATTTCATTCTCAATGAGGCAATTGGGCGTGGAGGGGTCGAGCTCGAGAGAACGTAAGGGAGACCTCAGATGGACTTGGTCAAGGGTCAATGGAACGTTCGCAGAAATTTATCAAAGTGGACTTGGATGAAGAGAAAGAGAATATCAGGTCACTGCGAACGTAAGGACTGATCGACTATTGAGTGACTAGATAACTATCGTGGAAAGCAAAGACGTAGGGAGTCGCGGTATTTATAGTCCTCTACGCTTGTCTAGTCATTAATGAAATCTGGTAGGGAGCAGAAATGAAAGACACCGGTGCCTATCCTAATTGAGGCCTGTTGAAAGCCATGCACTCGTTTTTGCCGATATTGCTTGTACTCGGTTGACGGCACCTAGGATAAGTGAAGTTTTCCAAGATACGGAACAAAGACTTCCAAATTCAATTTAATGCGCACAAAAACCAGGGCCGCATCTATTGCTGGGCATGTGATCATATCCTGAATTTGCAACTTGACTAACCCCTTTAGTTCCACTCAGGCTAAGAGATGAAAAATGTAGCGTTGAAAGCGACCAGTCTACGCTCTAGTGCATAGACAGGGGATTTTATGACGGCGTGGTTGCGTCTAGCCCAGCTGCGCCTACGAGATCTCCCATGGTCTATTTTTGTGGTCCCCGGGGCGTTGAAACTTAGGGCCACAAATGATGTATTAATTCATTATCATACTGGTATAAATCAGCAGGAGAACACTTTTCTTCCAGATCAAAAAGAGGCGGTGTCGGTATTGTGTGCGTTGAAGTACTCGGTCGTTCGTTATGGATAGGACCAGCAGGGAGTTTTGTCTCTGGGATTCGCATTCGCCTCAATTGGTGTCTAGACAGAGGCCGTCTTATTCCTGTCTCCAGACATAAGGGGAAGCCAAATATACTAGGCCTTATTGGTCTGGTATCAATTTGCTTGGGCTTGATATTTTTCACGGCTGAAGTCTAGGAAAAAAGCTTTTCCTTGTTTTATGTGCATTTTCTATCTCTGTCCGTATAAACAGCAGATAAATATCCATAGCAGTATCCAGATACAAACATGCACATCTTCATCATCACTATCAAGAAATCGGTCACGTTCCTATTGACAGTTCTATCAGTGCTAGGAACTCATATTTTGGCCCTGGGAGTTCTCTTGCTCCCGGAAGCATTGGAAAGATTTCTAGGAGGAAAGAAGCAGCTTCTAGGAGCCACGTAGCCCCCAGGAAACCCGACATAGCTTCTGGGGTCTAGTACCGTCACCTCGAGGAATCAAAGCCGCGTTCCTGTTGACGACTTGTTGATTCCTGGGGCGATGATTTGGCCTCCTGGGGGGATCCAATGACGCAGAATTGTGCGCAGGTCCGGTGAAGGTGTTTTGTGAGGGCTTTCGGCGATCTCGGAAGGCAAGCTATTGACTCTAGGACCCTAAAGTAAGCTCCCAGGGGCTCCACAGCTCCCAGATCTGGTCAATGTATTCCCAGAGCCAGTTCCGTATTCAGTCAGGAACGTAAAGTGAAGATCCCAGGGGTAGACCTGGCTTTCCTAGAATTAGAAATAGCCCCGGGACCTAAAGAGGATTTCCTAGGGGATAAACAGCCCCTAGAAATGCTTTGAGGTTCCCAGGGCTGACATATTGATTCCCAGAATAAGTTAACAAGCAAAAGACTTTGTCAGTTCTCTCGCCTGTGGCCTTTTTGCCAACAGTCCCCCTCCTTCACGCAACACGGCTCCACTGAGATGAATCCATGTCTGTTTTTCGTTGGTCACCGCCGTTAGATATGACGAAGACAGAACTTTTATGTACCAATACAGTTTCGAGCTAAGACATTTTCGGAATCAGTGAAGCCGTCAATAGCTATTGGCTAAGGTGTAACGGTGTCCAGCACTTGCGAAGAGGAACGGTCGCATTGTATTCTAGGATTGAACGATCAGGATTTCATTTCTCTAAGCTTGCTCCGAAACTGGATATCACGGCCATGACCTCCATTGGTGATCACGATGCCGGTGTCTGGTCACGTGTACTCGCGTGTGATCGCTTTTCGCGTTTTCCGTCATACTCGTCTGTAACTTGTGATCACCTACGCTGAGTGGAATTCAGTCGTGCCGACCGGCGAAGCGGTGCAGAGGTGGAAGGTCCTCGCGG